CAGTGGAAAAGGACCTGGTGGTGTTGGTCACAGCTGGCTGAAGATGAGCCAACAGAGTGCCCAAGTGGCCAAGAAGGCCACCAGCATCCTGGCTTGGATCAGCATTAGTGTGGCCAGCAGCACTAGGGCAGGGATCATCCCACCAACGTGGCATCATTTTTTATTGCTCATGAAGATGTCATATCTGTGTTTTTTCCACTACTGCTGAGGCATCACAGAAGGTGACAGAAGGTAACAGGCATGGATCACTTCTACACTGATGAAACCACCTCATCTTTTGCTTGATCAAAGTGTCTCCTTTCTGTACTATAATAAACATTTTGACACACTGAGGGGTTTTTTTCCCCCTCTTGTGTTAGCCTGAAGTTATTTTTCCAGGGTACTGCAAACCAGCTGCTCCTCTAATTAGTACACTGAGTGCTTATTTTATTCCTCAGATAAAAGTGTCTTATGTTGTAACGAAACAGTTTGACACTTAAGTCACACATTCATCTATTTGATTGCAAAAAGTCTGCTTAAAGAGTAGGCATCCCAGATAAGGCAACACATTTAATGTGCCATTTCTCTGCATTTTTATTAGCATTACTGCCAATTGGAAGAATTTACAAATAATTTCCTTTCCAGCACATAAATATATAAAATATTTTACTTTCTGCATCCTGGCAGAACATTTCAGGTCATTCTCCAGATTGCAGACAGAGATGTATGCACTGCTCATCGTCTGCAATGTTTACGTTCATGCAATACCTAATTATGTCTAAGAATAAAGCAATTCAAGGGTATAAACTAAGGCAAGATTTGACCTCTGTTTCCAGACCAAAAGCAAACAATATGTCCCTATAAGGCACAGCACACTGGATACATGCCCAGCTATACTCAACGACCTTCTGCTGGCATACAGTCATGCATCACTTCTACCAAGATGTAAGCAAAGCTTTGGCCTAATGTGAATCTCATGTTCTGACGTGATGGAACCACCATTCCTCACCTCCTTTCCCCAGAAAGAGACATTTTTGCACAGAAAATAATCCCTTTTCCTTCTGTTCTGTTTTGGTACTTTCATCTTCATCACAGTAATGCCATAGCACCTTCTGATACTCCCTAAAAGGGGGTTTCTGGTGATTTATAAGATTTCACTTGAGACCTTGAAGTATTCCAAGTAGATTCTTATTTTTTCTCCCTGATTCCATTTTTTTTATGCCAGCTCTAATATTTTCCCCTGCAGCAGCTGCATTCCTCAGCACCTGGGTGAAGCATGCCCTGCAGGAGAGCAGAGACTTGGAGAAGGAGTTTCTAGGAAATGCAGTAGACACTCCAACCTCTGATGCTCTCTCTCCTTCCATGAGGACTGTTGAGAATTAGATATTTACTGGAAATAAATACATTTGGCAAAGCCAGGCTAACAGGGGCAAATGTGGCTGGGAGCATGGTCCTTTACAGGGCTGTGGTGTGTCCTCAGGACAAGGCACAGCCAGGTCTCAGGGCTTCCCACCTGCCACTACCAGCTCCCACCTCTCACCCCCTGCCCCAGCATGGGGACAAAACACCAGAACAAATCATCTGGAGCCTGGACTCACCTCAGCTGTTGAGGTAAAAGAAGCCAAGTCAATGGGCAACTGAGCAGTTGACCTCTTGGGAATACTTGACAGCCATCTCTAGGAATGGGAGGCTGGGTTTTGATGCTTCTCAGTATAGGATTTTCTGTAAGTTTGGGTTTGTACACAGGAAAATACAACTTGCTCTGCATGGCAGCTCCAGGCGAGCCTGGGGTCCCATATTACTGTTTCTTGGCTAAATGTCTCTCCCACTTCCCCAGCCCTGCCACAGCTTTGCTGTGCCATGGCACCAAAGCCCAGCAGATAAGTAACCTAAGCCTCTCTGTGTGCCACGGGCTTCATGGCATGGCACAACCTGCATCCTTGTGATCCTGAGTGATTAGGAGCCCTGGAGGACATTTGGAAGCTCTTGAGCATCTTCAGCCTCATCTCATGACATTCTCTGTGGGCAAACCCACCCATTGCACTCATTTCCACCCTGCCAAGGCCAGGGCTGCTGGTGTGTCACCTCTGAGGGAAGGCTGATGGTAGCCTTGCAGAGCCATGGAGGCATTAAAAGCGATATGACATGTGTGAAGAGTTCCTGGGCAAAATTCAAGCTGTGCAATTGCCATTTTCATTTATGTTCAAGCAGCACTTTCTAACTAAGTACATTGTGCCTTCAGATGCAATGAGTTATGAAATGCACCTTCATTTCTGCTCTGATTTGGAGGCTCACTCTCTGCTGCACGTCACAGCCCCAGAAGCAACTGTCCTTGGGCATCTCTGGAGTTGATCCCTGTGTTATTCACTGAGCTTGGCGAGATCCTTTGTGGCAGAAGGTGACATGCAGGTGTGAAATGCTCTTGTCATATCAGTTTACGTTCAGCCACAAAACCACTTCAGCATGGATTGCATACGCTTCTCTTAAAATACATTTTGTCCAACCCAAGCAATCCTGCTCTTATAGTGCAAACATCTCCTCAGCTTGACCTAGACAGAGCTGAGCCTTCCTTCATATCTCTACAGAAAACAGAGTTTGCAATGAAATCCAAACTCAGACCAGTTCCAGTTGCTCATTATTTGAAGCCCATCAGTTAAATAAGCCATGGCAGATACAGCCACTCTGCCATCCTGCAATGCGAATGTGCTCCCAAGGTAATTCCTGATGAAAACCATATGTTTGCACTAAGTCTGTTCAGGCTGGTTCAGATTAAATATAGACCACTGCCAATTGTATTACCTCATTATTAGCAGACACTGGCAGCAGCCTTGCATGGAGAAATGGGTGTCTGGCTACGCTACCTGCTGGCACATCATAATTCATGTCAGGTGCTGGGAGATGTGCAGGAGGATCACTGCCTCTCCCCTGGCTTTCCTGCCCACAGGGATCTCCTCCTTGAACATGCCCTTTCAGCCAGCTGAGCTTCCCACCCACCTGAGGCTGGGCCAAAGCCCTGGGGAAGTTGGGCAGCCCACAAGAGGAGTGTATGGGAAAGAGGGTAAAGCTGTCCCTGGGAGTGCTGGGCAGGACTGACATCCCCAGGAGCTCACTGGGTTCAAGCCCTGCTACCCAATGATGCTCATGCACAGCGGGAGAGGAAGGAGGAAGCTATTGCTGGTTCTCACTATGTATTTCAAGTTAAATCCCAGAAAAAAATTAAGACAATCCATCTGAGAAAAAGTAGCCATAAGCCAAGTAATATTCATTCAAGTTGTATATATAATACAAGCATTAATTCAATTTGCAGGCAAAGTAAATCTTTGACATAATATTCCCCTATTTGCTCAGTGCCTGAGGAATTTGCCATTACTCTGTCTCTTTTTTTAATACATGGTCCATTTGACCTTCACATTGCCCAGACTCACGTCCAGCCCCCAAACCCTCTGCTCAAAATACAGCAACAACAGGCAGCTGAGACACAAGAACAATAAAAACACCCAGTACAAGACCATCTCTTTGGAGCTGTTGGAACCATTGAGCTGGAAGAGATGGAGGAACATCTCCCATCTCTGCAGAAAACACATGGAGCTTTCTGAAACGTCTCAAGGAGGAATTTAACACCTTCCATCTGCAGCCCATTACTCTAGGTTTTAACTCCACCTCTCCGATTACAGGTCCCTGCACACTAGGAGTGTATACAAAAGAGTGCCAAAGTCTCACGTCTGTGAGTCCGAGAGTTGGGGAATAACTGGAGATGAATCAAAACTGGAAGCCAAGTCCACAGCACTCTTTTTCCAAAAATCACAGAGTTTCGGTAAAAGACCCCGTGATTTGGCACCCTGCTGAGTCTGGCCTCTGCAAAACCCAAAGAGAAATCACCCACTCTGCTAGGAAGGGTCAGCAGAACCTAACAAGGTGCAAACAGGATTTTTTTTGAAGAAAATGCTTTTAAAAGTGATGGAATAGTTATTTTCTTTCCCTTTTAGGACTGAACTCATTTCAACAATTGATCTTCTCTTTCCATCAGGTTTTACATTACTTTTCCTCCCTGGCTGTGGCAGATGCTGAAGACTTTCAGCAGCCTGACAGCCTCTTCCTTGCTTCTCCTGGCCTGATGAATGTGGTTGTACTGTGCATCTCATGATCTCGACTCGGATCCCCCCAGGGAGGTAGGAGAGCTTCACTCCCACTGTCACCTTCTCCCACGGTCTCTGCTCCTACCAGTCTCCTCAAACATCCCCCTTCAGACCAGGGCTGCCTCCAGTGCCCTCACTTGACACAACTTCATCTAACTTTGTACAGTATTTACACCCTGCCGTGGCCACCTGCAGAAGGGTGGGAGAAGGTTGGATCTGCATCCCAGCTTCCCTGAATACTTTGGGCACCAGGGAATTCTCCCCTCCTGCTCTGCCCAAGGACATTTTAAAGACAGCCTGTTCATTGTGATGGGCTCTGATTGCAGGTTTGCAGCAGTTAAAGAGTCCCCCCTGGCTCTGGCATCCTGATGCTGCATTTCTCTCTTCCCGTTAATGGTGGGTTCTGTTTCTTTTATTACCTCTTAGTAATGGTTTGATGAGCTCTCACAGCAGGACTTTGCTAAAAATTATTCCACCCTTCTAAACTTCGCCTTCAAAACCCATCAACACTTCATTACAAGCTCCCATGCACATCTTTTACTTGCAAGGACTAGTGAAGCCACTGGACTGAGCAGCTCTGCTTGGCTGGGGGCTCAAGTCATCTCCCAGTAAGCACCACTGGGCCAGATGCTGCCCAGGAATGCAAGGAGAAAGGTGACTAGAGCCTTGCAAGAGACCATCTGAGACTTTGCAGAGGAAGATTGCAGGAGCTGGTGTGTCTTCACCTGCTGGTCCAAATAAAAGCTGCTCCATCTCCCTCACGTGGCAACGTTTCACAGCTTCCTCTCCAGACCTTCCTTGGTGACTGTAAATCAAGTGAAACCAAAGCACAGGGAAAGCCCCCACTCCACCACTGACAGAGGAGAACCAGCAGGGAGGACTTACCGTCCATGTCAAGGCGCTGCATGATGATGGCCAGCTCCACCTCACTGGGCATGTACCCCAGGGAACGCATTGCCATGCCCAGCTCCTGCTTGGATATAAAGCCATTCCCATCCCTGTCCAGCACCCGGAAAGCTTCACGGATTTCTGGAAAGGAGAAGGAAGAAGAGAGGAGTTGTTATGGTGGAGGATTCCCTGTCAACAGAAGTGCACGTGTTGTCTTTTCTGGTGTTGATGATGAGTGTTTGATCATTTCAAGCCAGTGTGATCACGGTGTGTCCATGCACACCTCTGTACCTGAGGGTACACAGCCCCTGCACACCTCCATGCAGACTAATACAACAGCACCCACGCTCACTGCCTATTTTCTGTGCCAAATATCATTGCAAAATTATTTATTCATGACCCATTGAACTCCATTTCTTTCTGCCCTGGACCTCTGGTGGGGAACCACCCTGGTCTACAGCAGAGTCTCCCTGCCTATGGCTGCACAGCAAAGCCCAGCAGCCCTTCTCCAAGCCCCTCAGCATGTCTACCAGGCAGATCTGCTTTATGCCACATGGACAGACCAAGCTCTAACGTTCTCCAGCAATGCTCCATGAACAGGTAGAGCTGGGTGCAGAATGTCTCCTCTGCAGGGGTTGGGGCTCTGCAGCCAAAGCCTGGATGCACACATCCTCCCTTGTCTGATAAATGTGGATGTACATCTTTTAAACCCCACCCTGGCAATTTCCATCTCTCACTCCTCTTCACAGCTTTCCTCTAATTTATAACTGCTTTACAGCAATAAGCAGCCTCAGATCAATAAAAATGCTGACAGCATCAAAGGAATCAGTTCCATCATTTTTCCTCAGTCTGGCTCAGCTTTGGACATCTGACTTTGTTTTAAGTTCTGGTCTTTAGTAGCCACTCTCCACTCATGTAGCACACTGAAGGACCCCTGCATATCCACCACCTCGTCAGCTCTGCACATCTCCTGCTCCTCATGGACCTCTCAGCTGGAAACCCCACCACCAAGCTCCCCAGACTTGACTGTTGCAGAAGCCAAACAGAGAAATTTTAACATCTCAACCAGCTGGGAGCCTGTTTACTTGAAAGGGCTTGGTTGGAGGTGGGGAGAAAAAGAGGTGCTGGTTTCTCAGTTCTGGCTAAGTGGTCTTTGCACCATGCTGGGGAGAAGAAAACAGGGGATGCTTTATCATCTCCCTTTTGGGAATGAGGATATATGAAAAACCAGCATGCTGGGGCCCACTGCAGGTTTGCTCACAGGAGTTTAATCTTCACGTGAAAGCATTTCTTTGGAGAAATGGGAGAGAAAACTAAGCAGGGTTTTGTTGGTTTTTTTGTTGGTTTTTTTTGTTTTTTTTGGGGGGGGACTTGGTTGGTTGGTTTGTTTTTCTGTGTGTGGGTTGGGTTTTTTGATTGGTTTGTTTATTGTTCTTTTTTTGTTTTGTCTTGTTTTAATAAAGAAAGCTTAATTAAAAAATACTCTATTCTGTAGTAGGGAGTAGATTGAATGGAAGAAGTTTGGCCAGCCTGGGGTAGTTCAGCTATTAATGGATGGTCCTCACTCCTCCTGGGAAAAAGCCAGGAGCATCATAACCCACCAGAAAAAGGTCTCAGTGACGTTTCTGCTCACAGCTTATTTAAAGCTTTACAATTCAAAGGCTGCTTCTAAATCACCTCCCATCAAAGTTCAGCACCTCCCTTGACAACACCAGTGCGTTAGCAAAGTCTGCTCCCATTTCCATATGCTGCTTTCTGCTGTGTGTAACATCCTGGTGATGTGCTGGGGCCAGGGCACCTCTGTGGCTTGCTGCCTAATCTTCACCACAGCTCTGCTTATTATAAGGAGATACGATCAATTTTTAATCCAGCCAAAGAGCCCACTGATGCAAAAAGGGAAGATCCTATTAATGCTAATGAATATGGGGCCAGAAGTGTAATATCTACACTTTGGGTTCAGTTATGCATCAACTGTGGCTTCTTTAAACTTAAACTCTTCACCTTGTCTCCCTGCCAGCCCAAGCTGGTGTAAGCTCAGTGATATGAAGAGATGGTGAGGCTGTTTAAAGCAAGCTCGGCTGGAAGCATTGGTACATAATGCAAACAACCTTTGGAGTAGGAATGAATCCCATTAGACACTGCCAGCTGTAGTGAAATCTATTTCCATGTGCTGTGCTGAAAGCTAAAGTGCAGTAGATATTACATTGAAATCAATTAATTTTAAAATAAACTTTTGACAGCTCAAGATGAAAGAAGTAATAATACTGCAAGGGGTAGAGAAAGTGTTTTAGAGTATAAAATATGAATCTACCTTCAGAAAAGTTTACAGAGGCATTAGGCTGATCCAAATTACAGCAATAAATAGTGTCTGGACAGGGGCTCTGACCATCTAGTGAGCATCCTCTCCAGACACACTGATTTCAGAGGGTGCATTGAACAGCACTGAACCTTTGAGCCTCCATCAGAGGAGAACACCCCACGTGCTTGGGGTCCAGCTCTGTTCCACACACCTCTCAGAAACCTGAACTTTTGACCAAGCCTGAAACATCCTTCACACACATCAACTCCTGACACCAAATAAAGATTTTTTTCACTCCTCACTCTATAAATACCACTTGTGCAGAGGTATATTTGAAGAGCTATTTATAGGTTGAACACACTGTACACGAAGCAGCTATGACCTCAATCAGTGCCTCCTCTTTATCTTTACATGTACCACCACCTCCTTATCAGTTTTTCTTTATAGTGAGTCTTTCTCCTCCAATATACTTGTGGGTGCTGTCCTGCAGAGCACACAGCCTGTGAGCCATAGGCCTGAGCATCCTTCCCAAATGCAGCCCCACCAGCTCTCCCCACAATGCTGCCAAAGAGCTGGTCCCAAACTGCAGCCCATGAACCTGTGGCACCCTGCCTGGCCCTCACCTTTATTTCCAGCTGTTAAATTTCATTACCCAAAGCTAAAAATACATCAGCACTTTCCCCATATGACTTTCCCAAAGAAGTCACCATGGCAACGGATGCTCCTGGCTCAGAACTTGTAGTGGATGTGGTCCGTGGAGTAAATCTCACAACAAAGAGACTGCCAAGGCTTTGGAGAAACTTTGAGGCCTCTTCTGTTTCAGCTGGAAGCTGCTGTACAGAGGGATGCGTTAACCCTGGTGAAGAAAAGCAGAGCCCTGTTTGGTCTTTAAAAGGAAGAGTAAAGATGAGGAGGGGAGGGGGTGTCAGAGCCCCAGCAGGTGCCTTTCCCCTTGCCCAGTCTGGATGGCAGCATCCTCCACACCCAGCCAAACATGTATACTGGGATCACACCTCCCCTGGGCGTTAGCAAATACTAATATTTATTCCCTTTTCCACTCATAGCATCCTTTTTTACTGCTGGATGTGGGTGGATGACACAGAACTATGTTAGAAGATAAAAGGAAAATCAGAAGATAAAAGAGAAAGATTTGGGAATTGTGCAGGTGACAGCACTGGCCTGAGCCTCAGCAAATATCACTTCTCAAGGTGCCCAGGAGAGGACCTGAGTGCTCTGAGAGATCAGCATCTGGCCCCATCCTAATTAACATCTTTGTTAGTGATCTCAAAGAGGGTGTGGCCACAATATTAACTAAATTCCTAAATGACACAAGGCTGGAAAGAATGGCCAGGACAAAACACCCAGCAAGGAGGAAGGAGCGTTGTGGGAAGTGGCCAGGAGTTCAGAGCAGAAGGGCCCTCACCTGAGAGTCAGCTGGGCCACGGCAGGTATGGTGAGCTGGGTTAGAAGGCACATTTCTCAGGACAGTTTAGCCCGGTGTTTTTCCCCAGGTGGGGATTTATGTCCCATGGCAGCTGAGAGCACAGCACTCACTTCTCAGAGTCATCTGAGCATTCAAAAGCGGTGGATGTGTGCGGGGGGATGAGTGTGCTTTTAATTTATACCCCATCTTCCCTCACATTCAACAGCTGCACCTTCCAGCTCCCCTGTGGCAGGGCACAGGACCATCCAGTCACCCCACACTCCTCTGGGAAGAAAGGAAGGAAGGATCAGAGATACAGGATGACTTTTGTTTCATTACCTTTCTGAAGGACACAAGACCACTATCAGAGCTGGACCTGACACCCAACCTAACAAACTGTAACATTTCTCCATCTGCACCCAGAAAAGCCTCCTGATGGTGACCTTTTCCAGGTCACCCACCAGCTCCCATCACAGCCCTTCCCTTCCAAACGCCTGAGCAACCTGACCTGGTTAGTTATCAGAGAATCATGGGGTGTTTAGTGGGAAGGGACCTTTCAAGGTCACCCAGTCCAACCCCCCTGCAGTGGGCAGGGACATCTGCAGCTAGCTCAGCTTTCAACTAGGGTAAAACAAGGGGGAGAGGAGGAGGACTCTATGGTTCTGTGATCTCTCTGCACTCCTGGCTGCCCTGAGCAAGCAGAGCCTGACCTTGCTCTCTCTTCCCTGGCTCATCCCTTCTCCATGTTCAGCAGCAGGTTTATTTACAGATGATTTCCCTCAGACTGGTAACTAGAGGCAAACATCATTATTTTTGTTTTGCTTCCTGACTGAGAATGAATCATGATTCTCTGGGAAATATATTCAGCCTGAGCCATCAGTGTCCACTAGCTACCCTTGGGCACTGCAGATGGTTTCAGGTTATTTCACTGGGTATAAATATCACCATAATAAATTTTGTAACTACACCCTAAGTACCACACCCTAAGCAATCACAATCAGAGTCCTAGATGGTTATTTTCATTAGTAAAATAAGAGAAGAAAAACCACCACCCAAAATCTTGCAAGTCATCTCATTCACTTAATTGCAGGTTTGGGCACCAAAGTACAAACTGAATGATCTAAAAGCTGCAAGTAGCACGTCCTTGAGTGAACTGTTAAGAGAGTCTTGTAACTACTATATCTGCTTAAAAAAATGGAAATTTCCATCCTTCCATCTGCTACTCTGAAGCTTCTTGGTTTTTTGGGTGTTTTTTTTCAGCAAATTGCAACAGTGTCAAAATAACTACATTTTTCATCTAATAGAAACACCCCCCCAACCTATTCCAATTGAAAGTGTCAGAATATTTCACTTGGTTATTCTCAATCTCAGCAAAATAGCTCAATGGCCCCAGATCAAACTCTTCCACTGCAACCTGGA